TGACTCATCTGTTTACTAATTGAACTTCATCTGCTATGACGTCCAAAGGCTTGTCGTGTTTTAAAGGAATTATTTCGTGCTCTAAACCCTTGCAGTGCACCATCTGCGATGGGTGGACACACATAGCTTGCTGCGGAGTCGGCCATGATTTGTACGAATTTCTCCTGCGATCCAACGTTCTGGGTTTAAATTTCTTTTGCGATCTGTGCCCGATACGATAAGCAACAGCAGATGCCGTGATGGACTGCCTGCGCTCACTCCGCTCACCTCTCCTGCTCAAGCTGAGATGAACATTGCTGCTGTCTCGCTACCGACACCTTGCCTTCTCACATTTGCTTCTGGCGCAGCTAACCTTACGGGTAAGCGTAGTCGAGCACCGTCCACCACATCTACAGAGACGCCGGCGGTTGTTGACCAGATCGAAGAGCCTAAGATCAAGACGGACGCAGAGGTGGTAAAGGAAAATGTACGAAATGTTGAACGCAAAAGCAAGACAGGAGTAAGGCTAAAATCCAAGTCGGCATCATCTCAGTCGCAGCTGAATTTGGTTCTCAATAGAGTCAGTCAACTGGAGAAACTGCATAAGGACGGACCCGCTGTTCTGAAGTCGAAGGTCCATAAGAACGCCACCTCGCCATCCCGCGACCGCTGCATTATCATGGTGAATGCAGCCGAGTCCACCAAGGCTACCCCAGCTGAAAGGAATGTAGATGATCGGGAGTTCCTACAACGGATGGTCGCTTTACTGTTCGATGAAGGAGAACAAGGAATCAAGGTCGTTTCAGCTTTCCGCCACAGCAAGTAACAGGAGGACTCCTCAAAGCTTCGTGCACTTAAAATTGCGTGTGAAAATGATGCTGAGGCCCGTCTCATTCTTCGACGAGCTCCGCGGTTTAAAGGCGAATCATTTTATGTACTGCGAGATCTTTCCCCTGTGGATGGAGTGAGAATGAAACAAGCGGTTGACGAACTCAGATCCAGTCGAGACAGCGGTGAGACAGATTTAAATATGGTGGATTTTCGTGTAGTCCGAAAAGCTATCAAAATACGCTGGAAACCACTTCTTGTCATACCAAAGCGTTAGAGGTAAAGAAGGGATTGCGCTTAATTTCCGCTAATGTGTGCAGTATTCGAAACAAACTCGACGAAATTCAATCTTTTCCTCAACGAATCATCCTGACCTAATGGCTTTTACCGAGACCTGGTTGTCCGCAGGTATCCTGGACTCCGTGGTGCAGATCCCCGGGTATCACTCCTGCCGGGCTGACCGCAAAGGAGGGAGATCGGGTGGCGGTGTGTTCCTGTATTGGAATGCAGACTGCAAGGCTCATCTAGTTGAAGCTACTGGCGTGGTATGGTAATGGTGGTTTCGAAGCCCTGTGGTGCCGGGTTCATGATGGATGCAGACCTCGGATGGTCGGAGTTGCCTACAGAGCTCCATTGGGTGCCGGAACTCGGCTGCTGGACACAATTAAATTGCATGGTGGGGGAAGGTCTGTGTACTATTGGGAGGCTTCAATACCCGAAGTGTCGACTGGGATTTGCTGCACTGTGCTACTTATTTAGACGTTTTCGCTGCGGACTTTTTTGAAACCTTTCTCGTGTATATGCTGTTTAAACATGTTACTGAGCCCACCCGTATATGTGTCGGCCAAACCCCCATATTTTCGACCATGTGCTTTCACCGGCGCGATCGGGTGTCGCAGACATTAACACTCTTCCGCCTATTGGTACTAGTGATCACTGCTTGGTTTCATTCCTCTGGACTCGACGCCTCACTCTTCACAACCAAGATAGGTTCCTCAGGAATTTCTGGCGTGCCGTTTCAATCCGCCTGTAAACGGCCGCTAGCGGTGTGGGCTGGAATGTCACACTATCCTCAGACCCAGATGAGGAGTACAACCTTTTTACTCCAAGCTGATTGCCCTTGTTGAGCGCGTTGTTCCTATTTTCAAAGGCGAACGTTTGTCAGAAGCCCTTCGTGGATAGACCGGGAATTGAGGTGCTTAATGTCCAAAGGACGTAAATTATGGGACCGATTCAAGCTTACTCACTGTGCGCTTGACTGTTCGGAGTACACATTAATCAAAAATGACTGCATCTTGAAGTAACGTCAAAAACGACATCAGTATGAACGCAGTTTGGCTGTGCAATCCAGGACGACATCGAAGGCACTCTACTCTTACTTAGAAAGAAGTATCAACTCTGGCAGTGACATTCCTGCCCTGTTTTCTGCAGAGCAGGGCGGTTAACTTGACGACGATGGGTCGAAAGCCAGTTTACTGGCCCTGCAAAATTCATCTGTTTACTCGATCGAGACGCCGTTACCCGATGACACCGCGCCAATCTACCCTTCTTAGTTGCAGCACATAGAAATGAGTGTGGCTGACGTTGCCAAAGGCCTTCGTGTATTAGATCCGAACTCCTCGCCGGGTCCTGATGAACTGCACGCGCTGTCCCTCAAGACCGTGGCGGACTACATTGCTGCTCCCGTCTGTCAGATATTTCGTCACTCCCTGGAAGCTGGACGACTCTTGGTTTCTTGGAAATCAGGGACCGTTAAACTTACCTACAGTGGAGGGGATCGTCAAGATCCTGCAAACTATCGACCTACCTGCCTAAGGTCCGTGCTGTACAAGTAATTGGAAAGGATTCTCCAGCGCGCCCTGCAGCTTCACTTCGAGAACATTGACCTAATCTCTTGTGCCCAACATGGCTTTCGGTGGGCACGCTGATGTACCTAGAACCTGCTTGTTGCTAAGGAAAACGGGGCGAGGTCATTAGACGCTGGGAAACGATTGGATGTTGTTTTTTAGACTTCCTCAAGGCGTTTGACAAGGTCCCCCATGAAAGTCTCCCTCTTAAACCCCCAGGAACCTGCGTTTCTCTGAATGTCCTCTCTTGGATCGCTGACTTTTTGATTGGCCGGACCATGCGAGTCAAGGTGAATGGAGCCTACTCCACTCCTGTGCGGAAGACTAGCGGTGTTCCGCAAGGGTCAGTACCTTGTCCAGAACTGTTCAAGACATTCAGCAATGACCTCCCATCGGAGATTCAGATTGATTGCCTGATTTACGCCGATGACATAAAGCTGTGGATGAAGGTATCCTATCTTGAGGGTGCTGACAGCTTGCAGGGATTACTGGACGTTCTACATGACTGGTCAGTCAACTGGCACTTGCCAATAAATTGAGAAAAATGCTCCGTTCTCCACATAGGTGCCCTCGAACCGTTCGGGGTATACCATATTGGCGGGAACTTATTCAGAACCACCATTCTTGAAAAGCTGTCGGTGTGCTTGTCTCACATGATTTACGGACCGCAGAAGACACACTACGGAGGGTTGCCGCTGCCAACAGAATGTCCCACGCCATACGGAGAGCCTTCTCGCGACTGACTCCGGGTAGCTTCAGAATTCTGTTTACTTCTCATGTGCGCCCGATACTTGAATACGGACTACCCGCCATCTGTCCTCTTACCAGGTTCGAGTGTAACATGACTGAGAAGGTACAGCGGCGTGTCTCGAAATCCATACTGGAGTTAAGGGACTTGCCTTTCCCTCTTCTACCACAGCGGATGCACCTGTTCTCGCTGAAATATCGCCGACATAGAGGTGACTTGATTTTTACTAGGTGAATTCTGATGGAGGAAATGGAGATGGAGCTACAAGCGTTCTTGCAAGTCAGCACCAACAGTTCCACTCGGAGGCACGACTGGAAACTATATAAACCCAGAAGACTCAGAGTTCGCTCCAATCTCGCTCTATCAACCCGCATTGTCAATGACAATAAATGTTCTGTACTCCCCATTAGTGCTGCGGCACCATTCGGTGTCTACCACCTTGTTGGTTATTTGCTTAATAATGTGAAAAAGGAAAGAGCCCTTGGTGCTAATGTATGCTGTGATCTAAGAACCACCCAAGCTACTTTGAAGAAGGTTGCTGCGGCAAACAGACTACTGTGTTCTATCCGAAGAGCCTTCTCACGATTGCCTCCGGAGATCATCAGACTTATCTTTTCCTCCTATCTGCGTCCAATCCTCGAATATGGATTACCCGCAGTTCATCCAAGCACAAAGCTTGAACATGGCTTGATTGAAAAAGTTCAGCGACGCGGTTCTAAGTACATCCTTGAGTTCCGACACCTGCCATATCACATTCGCCTCCAGCACTTGAATATGTTCTCCTTGGGATATCGGCGTCGCTGAGGCGATCTGATCTACGCTCGGCGCATTCTGCGAGGCGAGATGGGAAACGAGCTCCAAGGTTTCTTCCAGGTCAACACTGAGTGTTCGACTCGGGGCCACTGCTGGAAACTGTTTAAACCTAGGAGACTCAGGCTTCGCTCTGATTTTACACTATCGACTCGTGTGGTGAACAACTGGAACTGCTTGCCTAATTCCGTCGTAAAGGTGCATACGGAGGAAGGTTTTAAACGATTGTTGGATTTATACCTCTTGAATTGGCAGGGATCTTTTGTTTCTTATGTAACTGTGACCATCTAACTTGTTAATTGCTGTTGCGCAAACACCTGCTATGGTTGGGAGGTGATGGAACTGACAAAGTTCTTTCCTTCTGCTCTCTACATTACAATGATTACAATGACAATGAATGAATGACTTGCCGCAACATGTGGTCGACGCGCAGACTGAGGAACATTTCAAGCGCTTTTTGGATTTTCACTTGATGAGTAAGCTGGGACCCTGCTTCTTCCAATATAGCTGTTACGGCCCCTTGTGGAATACTGTCTCGTGGCGACTCACGGCATCCACGCATGATCTGGAAGTGAAGGAGCTGACAAAGGAATTCTGCTGTCTACAATCCAATGATCCAATGATTAACTGGTTGGTTAGGGTGCGATAGAGTGTACTGTTTTAGTTCCATCTGTAACTCTGAGCACTTCGTTAATTCCTGAATCAACGACTTGCGCAAGAACACCAATCAAGAAGAAGCTCCCATCCCATTTAAACTTGAATTTGAGCTACTCGCAGTCAGCTCATGCGCATTGTACCGATCAATTCCCCGGTTCCAAACCATGAGTGATTTTGTGCTTGATGGTGACCAGGAAGTCCAGGTCGACGAGTTTGGTGACGAAGCCTCAAAAGAGGACTTAAGTATGTCCGACGATCTTCATTTTGATGCGGTAAGCTGGATTGATCGTAAGATATCTAACTTTACCAGGAACTTGAAGCAATCAAAGAAAGGTTCAAAGAAATCGAGGCTGATGCCAATAAACTTCACGATATACACAGTATAACTGACAAATCGCCTTCCTCTAGTAAGTATCGCTTCCACCATATACAGATTTCTTGATTTACGATATCCCTTGCCTGTTTGCTTTTGGTGCTTTTCGGTCAGCCAACCTCGACAACCGGTCCTTCTGATTCGAGGACTATATCGCCGCTCCTTGCACTGGGGCTTAATTCAGTTCTTGCTGCCCAGATTTTGTTGATTATTGTCCGTCTGCCCTTGTATAGAGAAGCCTAGGTGATGGTCTGCCAATAGTGCCGTTTACGGCACTATTAGTCGTCACCGCTTAGTGGTTCATTGAATTCACTGTTGTAAAGGGAAGACCAATGTTAGCCCCCAAGATCTCCAGTTCAGCGCTGAGACTACGTATGTCAATGCAACCCGTTAGTCCTCAAAGAATCGGAACAGTCGCAGTAGAACAGCGCGGCCTTGGTGTCTTTTCTAGGTGAGTATCTAAGAGCCGTTTGAAACTCCCCTCGGTCGTCGCATCAACAACAGTCGCCAGTAGATGATTCCAGTCAATTAGTACCCGAGTGGAGAGAGCGACAGCGGTATTGACGTTGAGCCTCCTCGGTTTGAATAGCTTACAGTTGTGACCTCGTGTAGAGCCTCCTACTTTGAGCTGAAGAAGCTGCTGTAGGTCGTTCTCAAGTTCCCCTTAAGATGCACCTCGTAAAGTTGAGGTATTCACGACAGTTATGGTATTCCGTGGAGAACAGATTCATCTTATGCCGGAAAGAGTTGGGAAGATCACGAAACCCGGAAACGGATTTAGAACCACGTCCTTACCTTTTCCATTAAGGCGCATTCAAATTTAGAGTGGAAATATAGCTGGCATCCCATACTCTAGAATCGGTCGTACATAGGAACTGAACAGGAGCCTGAAGATCTTCGGTATCATTCGAGAAAAGGGTCTTATGGCACAGCATATCCTGTTTACAACTGCAACTTTTTTCTTTGTATCCTGTGTGGTTTTTAGATCATGTGCTATTGTTACGCTTTAAGCTCAGAAGCTCCGATCGGTAGGGTACATCATTTTTCGTAGTTTATTGGTAGGCCTCACTTGATGGACCAGTTATGCAACACATCAAGGGTCACCTGTAGTGCATCCGTGGCCTCAAGGTCAGGCACTTCAGACCACGGCTTGATGTCATTAGCATAGATCAAGCATTCTTTTTTGAGTGTTACAGGAAGATCATTGACGTACATCTTGAACAGTTCGGGTCCAAAGACGGATCGCTGAAGAACACCGCTTGTCATGTGCAGTGTCTTCGGAAGCGTCTTATTCACTCATTTGCATTGTTCGACATTCCAAAAAGTCGGCAATCCACTAGAAGTCTGCCACTAAAACCGATTTCCATAGGCTTCCAAACTATTCGCTGGTGTGAGACTTTGTCGAGCGCTTTGCTAAAATCGACGAAAACCGCATTTATGCGTTTTGGGGCGTCAATTGACCTCGCCTACTTTTCTCTCGCCACTAATAGGTTGGTGGAGCAGGAGTGTCCCTTTTGGAAACCATTCTGGGTAGTGTGATGTCACTTTCTTCGCAGGGCTTCTGTAGAACGCTTTTGATGATCTTTTTCATGATTTTACAAACGATGGATGTCAATCAAATTGGACGATAGTTCACAGGGTCTTGGCGATTTCCTCCTTTGTCCTTAGGCATTACGATCCCAGTTTTCCAGTCGTTGGGTAAACGATCAGCCTTCAAAGACGGCTGAAAGACTTGGCAGATGAGTGAGGCAACATAGTCAGAAAAAGCGGATGCAAACCGTCAGGGCCAGGTGAAGAATTCAAGTTTAGTTCAAATAGAATTTTCAGTACTGTGTCCGGCCTGAATTAGGTAGGTTCTAGGCAGTAAGGGTGCGTGAACTCGTGCGTGTTGCTCGACTGAGCTTGGCGCCAGTATACGGAGGAGTACTGCCGAGTAAGCAGGTTCGCTTTGTGAACCTCTTAGGGCGCGATTGCTGTCGTGTTGGATGCCGGAGCAGGCATGCTACAATCGGCTTTGGTTCTCTTGTTAAGATAAGCTCACTTTTTCGGTCTAGTGAATAATTGTTCTGATAAGCCTCTGAAGCTTTTCCTGAAAACCCAGGTTCCTAAGTGCCTGGTAGTTCGAGTAATCGGAGGATAGTTGAGAGAACTTGCATTTGTCCCATAGTTTCCGCCGCTGGTTCATGAGGAAACGCAGTTTCCAGTCAATCCGAGGGGGCCTCGCCCGGGGCTGCATTCTAGAGTTTGGGACAACCTGTACAATGAGCAAGTTCATTTTGATGCTTAGAAGATTCCAGGCCTCATCTAGATCTTGAGGCGTGATGCAGTCCTGGGTGCTAACCACTATTCTTAGGCGGGAAGGATCGGTTCGCCAGACCTTTGGACGGTAGACTGCTCTGTTATAAGTGACGAACTGCTGCATCCAAGTGAAGAGTGCAGTGCTCACTATGGCCAATTAGTAGGAGAGCAATCAGATCAGAGATGTAAACTGGTCTCAGTGTCAGCACAAGATCGAGCATGTGCGGTGGCAGAACAAGGATCGGCCTTTATCGAGCTCTTGGGGTTCTCTGCGCAACGTTAAAATCCACATTGTGGAGATTTGTTCCACCGTTTTCTCGTTGACTTCTTAGCCCATCGGATACCGTCTTCATTTTAACACGGTCTTCCGGTCTGAGATCTTTCAGGACAAAGAATGATTCCCTCTTGAGCCTCGAGGTCCGCATGAGGATGCGGCAGCATTCGACCTCATCTTGGCAGATTATTTTATTGGGACGAACCTTGGAAGAATCATCCTGCTTTCTGGGGCGAAAGGCGGAGACACTAGTAATGGCAGGTTCCCCATAGTCAAACAGTAGAGGCCATGCGTTTTAGAAACGCTTGGACATCAAAAATACTTTCTTTAGGTGTTTGCTTGTCAGATTCGGGCGCATTGACAATGATCAAACACCGCTCGCCAGAAGGTCTGCTTCCCTCGGGAATAGTAGGGTTTGGGGGCTGAGAATTCGACCTTGCCTAATTCTCCAACTGATTCATTCCATTCAGAACGAGTTTCAGTTGGAAGTGTGGGGATCCTTGCGAGTGTTGGGCTTTTAGGTCTTTTTATTTTATCACAGCACAGCCGTATCCAGACTAATTTTCTCTGGCGCCACGCTTTGACGCACGACGGCAGTATAGGTTTTCTTCATAGGCTGAATGTTAAGTTCACTAGGTGTCTGTCTTCAACGATGAGGCAGAGGAGTCATGGCTACGACTGTTGTCCGCTGTCGTCGAGCTGAGCACAGCAGATGGCCGGAGGGGGTCAGTTTTTGTTTCCTGTGCGTAGGCCACTGCGCTGAGCTCGGATGAACAGGTCCCAGTACTGTTAGCCCTATCAGCGACCCGGCAGGTACCACAAGTGAAAAAGACTACCGAGGATGAAGTCCGTTGAAGAATTTCATATAAGTTGACTTCGATATTACAGCAGTGGATATACAACCAGCCCTTGAAGCTCTTGGACTGCAGGCCTTCGAGCGGGTGGTGACTCCTTTGCGACAATCCAAACACTTTGATGACATTTTTTTCTTGGACTTAAGAGTGAGTTTGACAAAAGTCAAATCCTGTTCCCAAGCCCTATTTTCAACAATATTTTAGCCTAAAAGTCGAAACAGTATGGCACGCCAACAAATAGAGTTACCGCGTCCTCGCGGTATACTCAGCCTGCTCGCGATTGCTGTTGGTCGCGCAGCAGCGAAGCGCCGTTACGGTGTACAGCTGATACATTGTATTTTTATTCAGACGTCACTGCATCAGCCACTGGATATCAGAGGTCGGTTTAAACTGTTGGACTCCAGAGGCAAACTCCCGGCTGGCTCTGCGCACATTGCGGTCAAAGGGACTATTAGTCGCGAATTAAAGCGGAGCCTGCGTGCTAACAAGGTAGCCTGGTGAGCCAGTCGGGCTACTGAAATGGAGGAAGCAGGAGCAGTAGACAGTAATCGCAAGCTCTTCCAGCTGATCCGCACCACTGGTCACAGTGAAACAGTCAGATAGCGGGGTACTCGTAGTTCACAGTAAGAAGCGCCGTCTAGCTCGTTGGGCGGAACACTTTGAAGATCAGTTCATTTGACCCCCTACTTCCGGATCTCTTCCTACTTGTGTGATACAAGATGAGTCATGGACGGGTAGTTTAAACGCTCCGTCCAAGTCTGAGATCTGAAACGCGGTCACAGCCCTCATTCGTTTTCGTGCTTCTGGCCCGCATTCGCTCACACCAGCACCATTTAAGGATGGTGATGAGGTCCTCTGCCAAACACTGCCCTCCCTGGTCGAACAGGTATGGAAAGCAGAGACTATCTCAGCTAACTGGAGTGAATCAATTATAGTGGCACTATACAAGAAAGGCAATCACACCGCCTGTGCTAACCACAGGGGTATTAGCCTAACGCCGGTGATAACAAAACCACTGGCCTCAATTCTCGTTCGTCGCCTCACTGCGGAGCGAGACTCATTTATTAGGGAACAGCAAGCAGGCATCCACCCAGGACGGGGCTTTATAGGCCACATATTCACTGCATCAGGTGCTAGAGCAGCACCACACGTGCCGCAGACCGACTTCAAGAGTGCGTTGAACTCAGCCGGGTGGTGTATTCTGTTCGAAATACTTGCGTGGAAAGGTGTTCCCATGAAATATGTGAACCTTTTACCTGTTCTAGACTTGAACACGACAGGCCGCGTCAAGGTCTACGGTGATTCATCGGATCTTTTTCCAACAACAAGTGACATTCCTCAGGGTTGCCTAATTTCACCATTTATAACTTCCTCGTGGGCTCCGTCATAGAGTGTTCCATTATGGAGCCTCAGGATGCAGACGTTGTGGTACTGCCTGGTGAGAAGCTAGTTGATCTAATTTATGCGGACGATATCGTCCTGCTTTCTAACGATGTTAGGTTGGCGAAATAAAACCTGAATAATTTTTCTATTGGTCCCATCATTCGGCATGCGCTTCGCATCTTCAGACTGCAATGCGGTTACAGGACCACTAGCTGCTTGATGGCG